CGCCCGATCAATTGTTTCACGGGAGAGTTATATGCGCCACGTGCGCTGGGGTGGGGGGAGAAGTATAAGCTCACCACCTGTGGCCCCGTCGTACCAAGGTGCCCAGAGCTGGCACATGGGCCCTGGTCTTCCTTTGTGGGGACTGCTGGATTAACACATGGATTAACACATGGAATTCACTGCCACAGGAGGTGGTGGCGGCTACAAGCACGGACGACTTCAAGAGGCGATTGGATAAACATCTAGAGCAGAGGTCCATCAGTGGCTCTTAGCCACAAGGTATAGATCGGAACTCTCAGACTGGGGCAGGTGATATTCTTATTCTTGGTGCTTGGGGAGGGGGGCAACAGTGGGGGGGCTTCTGGAGTTCTGGCCCCGCTGCTGGACCTCCTGATGGCACCTGGTATTTCTGGCCACTGTGTGACAGAGTGTTGGACTGGATGGGCCATTGGCCTGATCCAACATTGGCTTCTCTTATGTTCTTATAGGAACTCTCGGTCTGGGGCAAGTGATGCTATGTCTTCTTGGTGCTTGGGGGTGTGTGTTCAAGAGTGGGAGGGCTTCTAGTGTCCTGGCCCCACTGCTGGACCTCCTGATGGCACCTGGTATTTTTGGCCACAGTGTGACACAGAGTGTTGCTGGATGGGACATTGGCCTGATCCAACATTGGCGTCTCTTATGTTCTTATAGGAACTCTCAGGCTGGGGCAAGTGGTGCTCTGTATTCTTGGTGCCTGGGGGGGTGGGGGCAACAGTGGGAGGGCTCCTAGTGCCCTGGCCCCACTGCTGGACCTCCTGATGGCCCCTGGTGTTTTTGGCCACTGTGTGACACAGAGTGTTGGACTGGAGGGGCCATGGGCCTGATCCAACATTGGATTCCCTTATGCTCTTAAAGCAGGCCCTCTCTGGGACTACTGGGCCAAGGGTGTTTGGACTGCACTTCCACGGCCTGTGGCTCGCACACGTGTCCCTCTGTCCTTTCAAGGATAGGGGGACGGAAGACCTATTGATGTCCATGCAAGTTTGAGAGAAAGAACCAGAGGGTACCGCCTGGCAGCAAGAGTTCCTCCCCAGCTCAAGAGAGTCTGCAAGGCTGGATATTCCCAACACGGGAGCCAGGGACCAGAGGGGCTTGTCACCAGTGTTCCCTCTAAGCTGAGTCAGTGTGAGCTAGCTCACAGTTTTTTAGCCTCCAGTTCACACATTTTTGTCTTAGCTCAGGAAGGAGGTCTCCAGAGCAAACTAATTTATGTACCAACCAAATTGCTCGCTCATATCTCTAATGCCCGTAGCTCACAAAGTAGGATTTTTGCTCACAAGGCTCCACGGCTTAGAGGGAGCATTGCTCGTCACCCCCTCCCTTCAGGGGTTGGGCACCCACTGCTCCCCCCATCGTGCAAGCATGGCCTCCTCTCGCCGGAGGCCACATTCAGGCCCCCAGCGCCCTCGCCCTTCCGCTTGACGCGACTCCCAGTCCCCCAAGAGTCGGTCAAGAAGGCAGCTTCCCTCGCCTCCTTTCTCCCCATCATCCTGCGGTTTCCATTTTACAGAAAGGGAAACTGAGGCCAAGGGGCCGCCACCTTGGTCACGGCCACCCAGTCAGGGAGTGTTGTTTCCAGAGCCCAGGGCCCGGGCTTTGGAGGAAACCCTATTTATACTGGAAAGTCCTATTTATGTATCTTGGAAAGACTCGCACACACATCCGGAGGACGGGAAGAAAGTGAGAGCCCCCGATCTTTAATCTCCCCTCCTCTGAGGCACACGGCCTCTCCAGAAGGGCCCCTTGTTCCCCCTTCCTGCGATGCTGCAGACAAAAACACGGATCTGGTATCGGGGAGGGGAGGTTCTCTGGCAGAGGGAGCCAAGGAAGCTTTCTTCTAATGACTACCGCTTGTTTATTGGGGGGCGGGAAGGCAAGTTCGGGCAGCGTCTACCCGCCCACCACAGCTGTAAAGACGCTGAGAACTGGGAAGCCGGAGAGCTGCCCAGAGAGGGAGCCGAGTTGCCCCCCCCGGCTGCCGGACTCCAGGTGACCCCCCCCCCCCTGGTCATCCCCCCCCCCAAGGTACCCACCAGCCAGCACAGTTCGGATCACAGGCCAGGGTCTTATTCAGGTCACTTTTGAGCCAGGGTGGTATAGTGGTTAGGAATGTCAGACAAAGATCGGGGAGACCCAGGTTCGAATCCTCAGTTGTACAATGGAAGCTCACAGGGTCGTTGTGAGGAGGACTGTGGACTGGACTCTAGGACAGTCAGGTGGATAGGGAACTGGTTGGAGAACCGCACTCAGAGAGTCGTTGTCAACAGCATTTCGTCTGAATGGAGGGAGGTGTCCAGCGGGGTGCCAGAGGGCTCAGTTCTGGGCCCGGTACTTTTCAGTATGTTTATAAATGATCTGGATGAGGGTGTGGAGGTGCTGCTCAGTAAATCTGTAGAGGAGCAGCGAACAGAACAGAAGATAGAGATAGAATTCAACGAGATCTGAACACGCTGGAAAAGGATGGATGTGAATAAGATGCAATTTAACAAGGATAAGTGCCGAGTTCTACATCTGGGAAACAAAAATGAGGAACACGCATACTGGATGAGGGATACGCTTCTGGATAGCAGTGTGTGTGAACAAGATCTTGGGGTACGGGTGGACTATGAGTTAAATATGAGCAGCCAGTGTGATGCAGCGACAAAAAAGGCTAATGTGATCATGGGACATATCAACGGAGGCTTAACATCCAAATCGCAAGATCTCATAGTCCTGCTGTACACTGCATTGGTCAGGCCAGACCTGGAGTTGTGTGCAGTTCTGGAGGCCTCACTTCAAAAAAGGATGTGGATGGAACGGAGCGGGTGCAGAGGAGAGCGACGAGGATGATCAGGGGCCTGGAGACCAAGAAGCCCTGTGAGGAAAGGCTGAGGGACTTGGGAAGGTTCAGTCTGGAGAAGAGGAGATGGAGGGGGGAAAGGATGGCTCTCTTGAAGTATCTGAAGGGCTGTCCCTTAGAGGAGAGCAGGGAGCGGTTCTTGCTGGCGGCAGAGGAGAGGAGTCACAAGAATGGGTTTAAATTCAGGGCAGGAAGGTTCCAGCTGGATATTAGGAAACACTTTTTACAGTTAGAGTTGTGCTATGGTGGAATCAGCTGCCCGGGGAGGTGGTGAACTCTCCTGCACCGGCAGTCTTTAAGCAATGTCTGGACAAACACTTGTCAGGGATGCTCTAGGCTGATCCTGCACTGAGCAGGGGGTTGGACTAGATGGTCTCTAGAGACCCTTCCCATGCTGTGATTCTCAAGTTCTATGATAAAATGGAGGGGGTAGAAATAAAGTATGTACTCCCCTTGCACCACACCTTTCTCCCCAACGGGGGACCCACGGTGACTTACACGATTCCCCTCTCCGCCGTTATATCCTCACAACAACCCTGTGAAGCAGGTTAGGGGGAGAGCGGGCGACTGGCCCATGTTCACCCAGCAAACTTCCACAGGGACACAAACCCGGGTCTCTCCGATCCTAATCCAGCTCTCAAACCGCCCCACCACGCTGGCATGACGCACTCGACTTGCTTGAACCCATCAGGTCGGCCGGGCACAGAGGCAGCCCATGTGGCTGATCTGCGGCACCCCCACGGTGCCTTCCCCACAACCTCTGTTGCCCTCACCCCCCGCACACCAACTCAGGGCACACTTCGGGGAACTGGGCACGGCTTGGCTGGCACACCTGGGCCCACCTGTGCCTCGGGCAGCTTCCCGCACGGCTTGTGCAAGTCAGGCCCCGTCCAGCTGGGCCCAGAGCCCCGAACGTGTCAACGCCCGAGAATCCCGCTCCCTGCCGGAGAGACGCTCCCCGTCTCAAATCCTGAGTTATATAAGAAAGCAAAATCGGCCGCCCGGGGCTCTGTTGGCCAAGGGGCGTAGGCTGCCGGCGCTGGGTCAGAGCCAAAGAGGGCTCCCTGTCTTACTTGGCTGGGGAGGTCCATCTAAATGGGCCCCTGCTTTCCAAGGATAGGGGGAGCAACCCCCCCCCAGCAAGTCCTCCGGCTCCAGCCCCACTACAACGAATGGGAGTTGTGCAAAGGGCCGGGAAGCGGCCCAGTAGGATTCAAACCCAGACCTCTCCCCCAGCCTAGAAGCCATGCAGGATCAGGTGCCCGGGCAGCTCCCCAGCACCAGGGACCGCGTGCAGAGTGCCTTCGACAGGCTTTTTGAAAAGGTCGTTTTGTGACTGTGTGACTCATTGTGAACTTGTAAGTCTGTGGACCTTTTTCTTTGGCGCAAATACGTCACGGCTGTCTTGCTCTTTCCCACCGTCCATCCCGAGATCTCTCTCCTTGGTTTGCATCATTATGAATGTAGGCAGAGGGGGGGAAGGGGTGAGCCAGGGCATGGATCTCACGGCCCTTCTTTATATGCCCCCCTCCAGAGCTCCCTCTAAGCCGTGGAGTCTCGTGAGCAAAAACTCTACTTTGTGAGCTACCGGTATGAAAGTGGTGAGCGAGCGACTTTGGCCCCTGCGTAAATTAGTCTGCTCTGGAGCCCTCCTCCCTGAGCGAAGACAAAAATCTGTGTGAGCCAGAGGCTGAAAAACTGGGAGCTATCTCACGCTCACTCAGCTTAGAGGGAACACTGCCCATCACCAGTCTGGGGGGTTTTCCTTCAGGCCAGCTTGGCTCAGGGATCCTGGAAGCGTTCTGCCTGCCACTGGGCAGAGAGTGGGGGTCACCGGGGGAGTGGGGGCCCCCCGCGTAGCTGTGAGTTACCTGCAGGGGGTTGGACTAGATGGCCCTTGGGGGTCCCTTCCACATCAGAGAAAGTGGTGAAGGATTACCATGAAAAGAGTGCCAGGCTGGGGCTGGGGTCCCTCATTGGTTCTTGGCTGGGAAGGCGGACTTTGGGTTAGGCGGCCCTCCTTGGCCCGTCCGAGCTGCTTGGCCTTCCCGACAATGTCCCACTTGGGCTGTTCCCAGCAGAGTTTTCTCTCTCTCTCTCTCTCCACCCCCCCCCCGTGCAGACCCTGGGATGCGGGTGCGTGGCCCAGTCGGTGCTGAGCGGGGAAGCGCTGGGAGGAGCGCAGATGGTCTCCGTGGGCTTCGCCATGGCCGTCACCATCGCCATCTACGTCGCAGGAGGCGTCTCCGGTAAGCCCACCTTTTTGCTGGGGGACTGGGCGGGGGGACAACAACACACCCTATTTGGGGACCAGAGACGGCGTCTGCTTCCGGTTGGGTTCGACATGACACTTTCCCAGCTGTCCGCTGACGTCTGTTGATTGTGGCAGATTTGCCTTTGGGGATATTTGTGTCTTCGTGGTGGCTGGGTGGCTGTTGTTATGGGATGGGCGAGTCTTTCCTTCAGGGATCCACGGACCAAACAAGCGCCCGACAACACAATCGAACAGCCGCCTGCATTCCACAAGGCTGAAACAATTCGTCCGTTCAAAGCGTGGCTTGAAAGCCCTCCGATGGGTCACAAATGCGCCCCAACTTAATTGGGCAGTGATTTTTCTCCTCCAAATTGTTCATTATTTTTAAGCGCACACAGATAAATCGCTGGGCAGCAGGGCACCGTCTTAGAAGAGTCTGTCTTCTCTCTCAGGAGGGAATGCTGCCAGTTTGGTGTCGTGGTTAGGAGCACGGACTCTAATCTGGGAGAACTGGGTTGGATTCCCCACTCCTCCTCCACAGGCAGCTGCTGGTGTGACGTTGGGTCGGTCACAAGTTATCTCAGAGCTGTTCTCTTAAGGGCAGTCCTCGAAACAGCTCTCTCAGCCCCTCACCTACCTCACAGGGTGTCTATTGTGGGGAGGGGAGGGGAAGGGAGTTTGTATGCCGCTCTGAGAGACTCTGAGTGAAGGGCAGGGTATAAATCCAATCTCTTCTCTCTTCTTCTTCTTCTTCTTCTTCTCAGAGGCCCAGCCACCAAGAATGCATCTCTCCCCAGAACAATTTGGGATTTGTGATTTCTTTTTTGGGGGGGGCTTTAGCTACGGATGCTTGCTTCTAACTATCCCTGTAAGCTGCCTTGAACCATGAGGCAAGGTGCAATATAAATGTTTTAATAAATAAACAGACAAGCCAGCATGGTGTAGGGATTAAGAGTTTTGGATTAGAATCTGGAAGCCCCAGGTTTGAATCCCCAGTCTGCTATGGAAGCTCACGGGGTGACCTTGGGCCAGTCCCACACCCTCTCAGCCTCACCTACCTCACAGGGCTGTTGTGAGGCTGAAATGGAGGAGAGGAGAAATGAGGAAAGGCGCTTTGGGTCTCCACTGGGGGAGAAAGGTGGGGTATCAATGAATTAAATAAAGAGATTGCTTTAGGCATGAGCAAATTTACGTACACCGAACCCAACTGATCCACCAGCTAAAACCCACAGAATTAATTTACTGCAGTATCTTTAACCAGGGGGCAGCTCAGTGTTTTTAAATATTATTCTGGAATATTAGCAGGATGGTGAGAGTTGAGACGACTTCCAGAAGTTTGGTGTCATGGTGAGGAGCACAGACTCTAATCTGGGAGAACTGGGTTTGATTCCCCACTCCTCCTCCACATGCAGCTGCTGGTGTGACCTTGGGTCAGTCACAAGTTCTCTCGGAGCTGTTCTCTCAAGGGCAGTCCTCGAAAGACCTCTCTCAGCCCCACCTACCTCACAGGGTGTCTGTTGTGGGGAGGGGAAGGAGATTGTAAACCGCTCTGAGGTTCCTTCGGGTAGTGAAGGGCAGGGGATAAATCCAATCTCCTCCTCCTCCTCTTCTTCCTTGCCAATTGCAAGTACTTAAGAGCAATGCTCCTTCTAAGCTGTGGAGTCTGGTGAGCAAAAATTCCACTTTGTGAGCCACTGGCATTAAAGCTGTGAGTGAGCCATTTGGTCACTGCATAAATTAGTTTGCTCTGGAGCCGTCCTTCCTGAGCCAAGGCAAAAATGTGTGAGCCGGAGGCTAAGAAACTGTGAACTAGCTCACACTCACTCATCTTAGAGGGAACATTGCTTAAGAGTCCATCAGGAGAGGCCCCCCCCCAATGCTCATTTAAGTTGGAAGGTGATCCCAAAGGGGCGTGAACTGCAACTAGTTTGGAGGACGGGACCTGGGTTCAGAATGACTGCTCAGTAATTAGAAGAACCAGCCCCTGCACTGAAAAACGAACCTTCGCAAACAAACAGTCTTGAGAAACAAAACGCACCAGAACAAAAACTGGAACACAGTTGGATGATCAGTAACAATAAGCCGGGAAGTGGCTGGAATCACACCAGGCAACTCACTGAAAAGAAATCTGCTAGTAATCTGATGCTGGAGAAAAACCATGGAAACATGACTCCAGGAGGCATTCAGGAGAAGGAGGCCATCCAAGGAAGAGGTCAAAGCCGTCTCTGGCATCAGCCCGAGTCCCCAACGCTGGAGGGGACCCAGAAGACGAGAAATTGCCTGCTCAGAGGGTGAAAGAAGACCCAAAGGATCCGGACAATCTAGCGATTAAAAGTCAATCGACACCCCTGGATTTAAAAAAGTTAAGCGGCAGCCTGGATTCGCCTCTGGCTCCCATCTGGGCTCAGCCCCAGTGGGGATTCTGCATCCTCCGCTTTGCAGTTCTGGGCCAAATGACACACACCCGTCCCCGGCAGGGGAAATCAGATCAAAAAAGTACCGGGGGGAGGGGAGGTGGTGGAAAACTGGGCCGGGGCTATGGGGCTGGGAGTTCCGCTACCCCAAAAGAAATGCTCCCCCCCCCCCCGGGTTTTTTTTTTTTGTAGAAAAAGCCCAGCAGGAACTCATTAGCATAATAGGCCACACCCAACCGCAGGAACTCATTAGCATATTGGGCCACACCCCTGACAGCACAGATCATTAGCACATCAGGTCGCACCCCCGTGTTACCAGAAGTGTGGTTATCCAGCCACACCCACCTTTTGCTTGTTATTCTGTTTACCTTGTTTGTTGTCAAAACCCAGGGCCTTTTTTGTAGCAGGAACTCCTTTGCATGTTAGGCCACACACCCCTAACGTAGCCAATCCTAATGAGCTCCTGCTGTTGGGTGTGGCCTATTATGCTAATGAGTTCCTGCTGGGCGTGGCCAACTCGGGAGCCAGCCGGAACTCCGTTCCTGTGCGTTCCTGCCCAAAAACAGCCCTGCTCCCCCAATCTATCATTTGCCACGGTGAGGAAAAAGGAAAGGCAGGCCATGTTCTCTCCCCACTCACTCTGTTCATGCTCTGGACCCTCCTCTCCGAATTCACCCCCTTCCGCCCAGGGATGTGGCAGTCCGGGTCCCCCTTGGGTCCCTTCCAGGGTTCCCTCTAAGCTGAGTGAGTGTGAGCCGGCTCACAGTTTTTTAGCCTCCGGCTCACACATGTTTGCCTTGTCTCAGCTCAGGAAGGACGGCTCCGGAGCAAACTGATTTATGCAGCAGCCAAATCATCAGCTCACAACTTTGACGCCAGGAGCTCCCAAAGTAGGATTCTTGCTCACAAGACTCCACAGCTTAGAGGGAGCGTTGGTCCCTTCCCCATCACAGCTTTCTTGTCCTAAGGAAAGCCTCGGGTGGTCTGACCGGGGGAGGTGGGTCTGTCATGAACACAGGAAGCTGCCTGATAGTGAAAACAGAACCTCAGTCCACCAGGGTCAGTGTTATCTACTCAGACTGGCAGCCGCTCCCCAGGGTCTCAGGCGGAGGACTTTCCCCTCACCTACTGCCTGGTCCTTCCAACGGGTGATGCCGGGGATTGAACCGGGGACCCCCCGCATGCCAAGCAAAGGTGCTTCCACTGAGCCACGGCCTCTCACCCATAATGCATGAACACCTGAAGTTGCCCTATACTGAATCAGACCCTTGGTTCACCAAGGTCAGGATGGTCTGCTCAGACTGGCAGCGGCTCTCCAGGGTCTCAGGTGGAGGTCTTTCCCATCATCCACTGCCTGGTTCTTTTCAGCTGGAGATGTTGGGGATTGAACCTGGGGCCTTCTGCACGCCAAGCAGAGGCTCTGCCACTGAGCCACAGCCCAGTACCCTGTGTCCCTCAGATGTGGCATTTCCAAATGCAGGTGCCTCATCTTGCACCCACACAAACACCCCGTCTGGCGCTCTCTCCAACGGCTTTTTGGCTGGCCAGGTGTTTACACACACACACACACACACACACACACACACGATGCCTGCTGGGCCGGCGTTGAGAGGTTCTTAAAAATGCAGAGTTAAATTAGCAGAGTGAATTAGAGGAGAACCAGAGCCCGGCCTGTTTGCGGAAAGAGAAAATACTTTACTAAAAACAAACATGAGGCTGGGCAACTTTGGATAAAAGAAAAGTAATATTTCTATCTAACCTGCAGCAGACATAAGAACAACATAAGAACATAAGAGATGCCAATGTTGGATCAGGCCAAAGGCCCATCCAGTCCCACACCCTGTGTCACACAGTGGCCAGAAATACCAGGGGCCCTCAGGAGGTCCACCAGTGGGGCCAGAACCCCAGAAGCCCTCCCACTGTTGACCCCCCCCAACCGTTAAAAGGCTAACAGCTTCATGGCTGCCGTTTCTTGCTCACGGACAAAGGGATGGCAAACTCCTGCACGGAACGCCCAAGCATTTCTTCTGGCAACGTGTTGATTAGCCAACAGAAAGGTCACAGACCACTCCATTTTACTAACACCTCCTACAAATTCCCCTGTCCTGGGCTAACTAAACTCTACTGTAATCAGATCGGCTATGTGAATTCCTGCTTACTAACAACCACAGTTGACTCTGTAATGACGGGGAAGTGTAAGCAAACTTGTACAGATCCCAGCAGACGGACGGGGATCTTGAATCAGGCCCGGAGTCCGCTGGGTTGCCAGGTCCAGGTTGGGAAACACCTGGAGATTTGGGGGTGGAGCCTGGGGAGGACAGGGACCTCAGTGGGGCACAGTGCCATTCAGAGTCCACCCTCCTACGCATCCCATTTCCTCCAGGGGAACTGATCTCTATCGTCTGGAGATGAGCTGTAATCCCGGGGGATCTCCATGTCCCACCTGGAGGCTGGCATCCCTCGCTCCCGTGGTGCTGGCAGTGCCCATTGGGCCTGGCCCCCCAGGCTGTGGCAGTGATGACCTCAACTACATCAACTAGACCATCTCAGGCTCAGTCGCTTGCTCGTCAACAATGCCCTTCGGCTCTCTACAGAGGAGAAACAGGACGAGCCCTGTGCCAACTGACACAGATATGACATCAGGAACCACAAGACTGAGAAACCTGTGGGAGAACACTTCGGCCTCCCAGGACATTCCGTGGGGGGCCTCAAAGGAGCCGTCTTATTGCAAAGGAACGTCAGGAACAGATAGAAACGGGAGATTGCTGAGTTACACGTTATTCACTCAGGACAATGGAACCCCCAGGGCTTCATAAGAACACCAGAAGAGCCCTGCTGGGTCAGACCAGGGAGGGTCCATCTAGTATCTAGTCCAACATCGCATCTCACACAGGGGCCAGCCAGTTTCTCTGGAGGGCCAACAACAGGGCAGAGAGGCCGAGGCCTTCACCTGATGTTGCCTCCTGGCTTTGGGATTCAGAGGATTAGTGCCTATGAGAATGGAGGTTCCCTCTTGTCACCACAGCTAGTAGCCATTGACAGACTTATCTTCCATGAATCTGTCTAATCCCCTCTTAAAGCTGTGTCTGTGGCCATCACTACATCCTCTGGCAGCAGATTCCACATTTTAATCTCTCCCTCCCTCTCTCTGCGTAAAGAAGTATTTCCTTTTCTCTGTCCTCAACCTACTGCCCATCAACTTAATCAGAGGCTCTCGAGATCTAGTCTTCTGGGAGAGGGAGGAAACAGAGGTGTTGTTTTCTTATCTCACCGGACAGGCTGATGTCGTTCAGTCCTCGCATCTGTTGTAAACTCTTTTGTTATGCCCCATGCTCATTGGCTGCTATTCACAGGTCTTCATCCAGCCTTAGCTGTATTTATTGCTCATGGACTCGTGCATCTTGACTCTAATTGGCCCTTCCTGGCAATACCGTCCTCACCCTCTGCCCATACGTCATGGCTGGTGACCTCTGCATCAAAGTACCTGATGAAGTGCACGTGTCCATGGACGTTTATGCCCAGAATAAAACTGTTGGTCTTAAGGGTGCCCCTGTGGACTTGAACGTTCCTCTGTTCCTTCAACAGAGACCGTTTTGCAGGTCTGCCTCAGGAGATGGCAGAGGAATTGCCAGCTCCACAGGTCTGGCTTTTGGAAGGTGAACCCCCTCAGCCCCCACCCCCGGCCTGGTGATATTCGGAAGAGAAGAAGAGAGAAGAGATTGAGTTTATACTCCGCCCTTCACTACCGGAAGTAGTCTCAGAGTGTCTTACAAAACCCTTCCCCTCCCCACAACAGACACCCTGTGAGGGAGGTGGGGCTGAGAGAGCTCTCTTGAGAACTGCTCTTGAGAGAACAGCTCTGGGAGAACTTGTGACTGACCCAAGGTCACACCAGCTGGCTGCATGTGGAGGAGAAGTGGGGAATCAAACCCGGCTCTCCCAGATTACAGTCTGTGCTCCTAACCACGACACCAAGCCGGCTCTGCGCCTGGCCTCTCTCCTCATCAGGAGCTCAAGACCAGCTCCACACCAGCCAACACTTCCCCGGGGCTCCCTGCAGCTTGCGCCAACCTGTTTTCTCCAAGGGGTCTCTAGCGGCAAGAAGCTCCGCTTAGGGACAGAGAAACGCGTCGGCACCATGCAGGCCTGTTTTTCTCCCCACACACGCCAGCCAGCTCAGTGCCTTCATGGCCCCATGGAGTCCATATTTCCAATTGCTGACAGAGGAGAAAATGGTTCCTGTCATTCAAAGGCCACAAAAAGGCAGGGCGTTTTTTTGAGGGAGCCGCGCCACCAGCGGCCCACAATTCTGCTGAGAGGACTTTGAAAGCAGCGCGCCGGCCTTCGCTCCCTCCTCCTGGGCATCGGAGGTCACACCACGCTGGACGGCTGCACAATGCCGGCCTTTATCCCGCCGGCCTTATCGGTGCCAGCCGGCTCAGGAGAGACCAGAGGTGCTCCAGGTTCCCGAGATAACACCCTGACCCCCAGCGCGAGTCAACAGAGAAAGCGGCACACAGGGGGCCCCTTCGTCGCAGACAAAAGTCCACGCTTATCAGGAATGTGTTATTAAAGACAGCCTCCCTCGGCCCTCAGATGAAGTTTTGCTTGCGAATTCCACCATCCCAAGAAATGCACTCGAGGAAAACACGGATTTCTGCTCGTCCGGCACTGTGAGCAAAACCAGCGCTTCTATTTCCTTACCGAGATATTTCTCAATATAATATTGCTCCCTCCTCCTCCATTTTTATCCTCACAACAACCCTCTGAGGTAGGTTAGGAAGAGAGTGGGTGACAGGCCCAAAGTCCCCCAAGACAGCTTCCAGGCTGGAATGTGGATTCGAACTCGGCTCTCCTAGTTTGACACTAGGCTGGAGTCCAGGAGCCGCTTAGAGACCATCATGATAAGCTTTCAAGAGTCCAGGCTTCCTTCCCCCGATACCTCTCAAAAGCACATACTCTGAAAATCTTCTTGGGCTCTCAGGTGCTCCTGGACTCGAATTCAGCTCTTCTAGAAGAAGAAGAAGAGACTGGATTTATACCCTGCCCTGCACTACCTAAAGGAGTCTCAGAGCGCCTTACAAACTCCTTTCCCTCCCCCTCCCCACAACAGACACCCTGTGAGGTTGGTGGGGCTGAGAGAGCTCTCTCGAGGACTGCTCCTGAGAGAACATCTCTGAAAGAACTTGTGACTGACCCAAGGTCACACCAGCAGCTGCATGTGGAGGAGGAGTGGGGAATCAAACCCGGTTCTCCTGGTCTGTTCTTTCCCCTCCCCGGCCGGTCTGTTTGCAGGGAGCAGAGAACGTTATCTGGGAGAGAACACTCGCGCGCTGCTCCTGCGATCCCGGGGTAAACTTTGTCACCTGAGATAACTCCCTGGCCCTCCCCTCCCCTACGCGCACAGACTGGCCCCAGGGCCGCAAAGAGAGACAGGGACTCTGTTCCAACACGAGTCTCCTCCCAGATGAGGAGCCCTGTCCCGTTCCAACACTTGCACGTTCCTGCACAGGCAGAAAGGGGTGCACCCCAAACAGGCGTGACGGGGCCGATGGGGACCCTCTGTGGGCGCCACTGAATGAGGTGGTGTCTCCCGTGCCCCACCCCGGAACGGGTTGGCCATACGCCTGGCTCCACAGGTACCAGAGACTCATCCCCTAGTCTACCGTAGGGCTGCCAGCTCCAGGTTGGGAAATACTGGAGATTTGGGGGGGGGAGTCCGGGGAGGGCGGGGTTTGGGAAGGGGAGGGACCTCAGCAGGTTTGTAATGCCGTGGAGTCCGCCCTCCAGAGCAGCCATTTTCTCCAGGGGGATTGACCTCCAGTGCTCCCTCTAAGCTGTGGAGTCTTGTGAGCAAAGATTCTACTTTGTGAGCTGCTGGCATTAAAGTTGTGAGCGAGAGATTTGGCTACTGCATACATTAGTTTGCTCTGGAGCCACCCTTCCCGAGCGAAGACAAAAATGTGCGAGCTGGAGGCTATAAAACAGTGAGCGAGCTCACACTAACTCAGCTTAGAGGGAACACTGCTGACCTCTATTGTCCAGAGAGATCAACTGTCATAGCAGGAGATCTCCAGGCCCTGCCTGGAGGTTGGTAACCCTAAGAATGGGAGGTTTGCCTCTATGGACAATTCCTAAATTCCACCTGCCCAAACAGAGCACTGTATGCAGCATGGACTTTCCAAAGCGCCGCTGCTGGGCTTTTGGTTGGTTTTGCCGCAACAGACGGATGGCTCCCCCTTGACGGGCCACCTCCCGGCCACTGTCTTCCAGGGGGCCACATCAACCCGGCCGTTTCGTTTGCCATGTGCATCACCGGCAAGATGACGTGGGCCAAGTTCCCCGCCTACGTCCTCACGCAGTTTCTCGGAGCATTCGTGGGAGCAGCCGCCGTCTACGGGGTCAACTACGGTGAGTGGAAGGAGCCAATTCCTGCCTTGGAAACTGCCCCACAAACCCAGCCTCCGGGGTGGGCCCTGGGAAACCCTCCTCAGACACTGGCTGAAAGACGCTTGGGGGGGGGGGGGTGAGAAGAAGGATAAGAACATAAGAGACGCCAATGTTGGATCAAGCCAAAGGCCCATCCAGTCCAACACTCTGTGTCACACAGTGGCCAGAAATACCAGGTGCCCTCAGGAGGTCCACCAGTGGGGCCAGGACATTGGAAGCCCTCCCACTGTTGCCCCCCCCTCCCCAAGCACCACGAATATAGAGCATCACTTGCCCCAGCCTGAGAGTCCCTCTCTATCCCTTGTGGCTAATAGCCACCAATGGACCTCTGCTCCATATGCTTATCTAATTTCCTTTTGAAGCCGTCCATGCTTGTAGTCGCCATCCCTTCCTGTGGCAGTGAATTCCATGTGTTAATCACTGTGTCCCTTTTGAGGGGACCAACCTGAAATGACACATCACTGGACAGGTCAAGGTGGGCAGACGTGTTGGTCTGAAGCAATAGAATAAAGTTAGGGTCCGGTGGCACCTTTATGACCAACAAAGGTTTATTCAAGGTGGGAGCTTTCGTGCCTGTCGCCTGACAAAGAGTGCGTGCCCACGAAAGCTCACACCTTGAATAAAACTTCGTTGGTCTTAAAGGTGACGTAACCGGGCAGTGAGTGACCCACCCTCTCCCCCAAACGCCATTGCACTTTTCAAAAGGGTTCCTCCTTTAAGAGGAGACACCTGAACAGACCGACCACCTAAATGTTCCTTTCATGGTTTGGAAAAATCAAAAAATTGGCTAAAGTGTGTGGGGGAGGGAAGCAACATAACCCACCATCAAATCTGGCCTGTAGCCAGCATTCAATCAGGCTTGTAGCCATGGCGGGGCATTTGGGGGCAACACCCCCACCAAATTAGCCCTGCCCCCTCACTTCCGATCCCTCCCGGTCCCCCTTCCCCCATCCCTCTGGCGCCTATATGAGCCGCTGCACCTCTCTGACTGTCAAAGAGGCGGAGGCTCCGCTGGGTCTCCCTGCTTTGGAAGCAGGAAGAATACCCAATGAGCCCGCCTCTCTCCAATTGTTGGAGAGGCGTAGGGGGAGGTCTTCTTCTTGCTTCTGCAGCCAACTTCAGCTGCAGAAGGGATCTCTCTTTCTCTCCCCCACCCCCCCCCCCCTCCGCAACATCCCACCATCCAAATTTTTCTGGCTATGGCCCCGCATTCAATTTTCCGATACACCCATATTAGTTCCCTTGCAAAGTTGGGGAGACACCCTGGAAAACTCTCTTTTTATGGCTCTGCCTTCTCCAAGGAGGCCTTTGCCCAGGGAGAGAGAGCACATGACCCATGGCCGCTTTCTGGTGGGCCCCCCCCCCCAAACTTGTGGGTTGCTTGGACACACCTCAGCACTGCTCCCTCTAAGCTGTGGAGGCTAAAAAACTGTGAGCTAGCTCACACTCACTCAGCTAAGAGGGGGCACTGCACCTCAGGCCGATCCTGCAAGGTGCGCCTCCTGTCCCTACGCAGGATCACCGAGTGCCGATCAGGGCACCGATTCCACTGCCACGAAATCCCACGTGTGGCCTTTGTTTTTGCACAGTGAGAACATTTTGGTGGGCAGCAGAGATGCCAGCCAAAAGGAGGCTGTGGTCACCCACCCGACCTTAGGCAAGTTAGCCTCGGAAACCCCACCCCCCCGACTGGCAACATGGGCATCATCTCACAAAGCTACCTCGCAGGGTTGCTTGTAAGGCGTGCTGTGAGTCTGGGCACGAAATGCTTTGAAATACATCGAGTCTGTGCTCATTCATCTTGAGTGCGATCGCTGTTCCCTAGATGCACTGATGTCCTACACCGGGGGGAACTTCACCGTCACAGGTGACATCCGCACCGCCCATATCTTCGCCACGTACCCATCAGAATACCTCTCTGTGACCAACGGATTTGCCGACCAGGTAGGGAGCAGCGAACGGGGCCTGCAGGTTGGGCGGGCGGGGGAAAGGCCCTGGGCCCCGGGATTTCCCTGGGCAGGCCCGTTGAGCAGCCTTTCCTGGCTGGCTTCTCTGCCGCAGAGGCGACATCAGAAGGGCAGCGCCAGCTTCACGCGGCAGCGGCGATGGGCATCGGAAGGGCCCAGAGGTTCCTTTTGCCCCCAGCTCCATCCCAAGTCCAGAACTGTGCTTTGCACAGCGCAGGGAATCCGTCTCTCGCTGCTGCCGTGGTGGCTCAATGCAAAGAGAGCGGAGTTCTGAACTAGCTGAAGCGAAGCAGTGTCGGCATGGGCTAGTTTTTTAATTATTATTTTTGTGTGTCTGCGTGCCCGTGCCTGGAAGTCATGGCAACCTCTGGCGACGCCTACTGGGGTGCGGAGGACGCTCAGAGAAGTGGCTGGATAGCCTGTCTCTGCCAGTCTGGTGTCTTGGTTAGGAGCGCGGACTCTAATCTGGGAGAGCCGGGTTTGATTCCCCCCACTCCTTCATTTGCACCTGCTGATGACCTTGGGTCAGTCACAAGTTCTTTCAGAGCTGTTCTCTCACAAGAGTTCTCAAAAGAGCTCTCTCAGCCCCACCGACCTCACAGGGTGTCTGTTGTGGGGAGGGGAAGGGAAAGGAGACTGTAAGCCACTCTGAGACTCGTTTGGGTAGTGAAAGGCGGGGTATAAATCCAATCGCTTCTTCTTCTTCTTCTTCTGTTCCCTTTGCGCTTGACAGGTGATCTCAACGGCCTTCCTCCTCGTGGGCGTCTTTGCCATCTTCGACCAGGGGAACCTGGGGGTCCCGAAGGGGCTGGAGCCCATTGGGGTGGGTCTTCTGATCATCTTGCTGACCTCCTCCCTGTCCATGAACAGCGGCTGCGCCATGAACCCCGCTCGGGACCTCAGCCCACGCCTCTTCACGCTCCTGGCCGGGTGGGGTCCAGAGGTCTTCACGTAAGTAGGATCTGGGTCTACCTCAAAAAACAGCCCCCCTCTGAGCCCCACATACCCATGGATCGATTCTCCATTATATCCTATGGGGACCAGTCTCCATGGAGTATAATGGAGTGCCCAGTGGCCATTCCCCCCTGCTTTCTGAC